GACCGCGGCCCCCCGCAATCCCGGAGCGACCAGGAGCGTGGAGGTCGAGTGGTAATCAGCGCACCGGTGCGGTGAGTGATAGCGATAACGCGGGTGCACGCGCGCGGCGAACGGACGCGCGAAGCAACTTGACGCGCCCTGTGAGCGATGCATGTGCGGCGCGAGTAGGGAGGGTGGGCGTGGGGTGCGCGTTGTCCCCCCGCCTCCATCGAGCGACAACGTTCAGGGTGGGATCCGCGACGCGCGAGGGAGAAAGGTTCGCGCCCAGGCGCGTCGTCGGGATGTGGGCGCCGAGTCGGGGCCGAGGGCCACACCGGCAGCCCCCCTACCAAACGAAGCGGCTTTCGCTGGTCACGTACGCGATGAAACGCGAGGTTCTCCGTCTAGCGAACGGGGCGGCCGAGGCGTCTCCCTCGGGGTGGTTTCCGGGGCGTTGCTCTCCGCCAGAGCGATGAGGTCGCCGAGGCCGCAGAGACGACGACCGACCTGGATGCTGTGGCTGCTTGTCTGGCCTAGCTACTGCCCGCGAGGAGGGCTCGCAACGCGCGGGAGAATAACAACGCGAACGACTATCGCGCCGCGGCTGGCGCGGCACGCCCGGAGCGACCCGCCGGTTCTCGAGTTCACAGCCAGGAACGTACGGGGGAGGCCCGAAGGATACAGAAGTTGTACCGGGCCAACCGGAAGCGAGCGGTCAGGGAGATCCTCCACCTGGACTCCCCTTTCTGCGAGGTGGACAAGGAGACGATCCAACGCCACTTTGCGGAGACCTTCTCGCGGACGGAAGGAGCTGGTCCCCTCCCCCCGTCCCAGGAAATGGTGGAACCGTCCACCGAGTCCAACGATGCCCTGGTCTCCCCTCTGAGACGGTCCGAGGTGCTCTGTCGGCTCAGGAAGATGAAGAATTCGTCCCCTGGGCCCGACGGAGTCACTTATGACGACCTCCGGAGGGCTGACCCGGATGCAGCGGTCCTAACCGCAACTTACAACGCATGCTTTCGCCTGGGGCACGTTCCTGATGCGTGGAAGCGGAGCCTGATCGTGCTTCTGCACAAGAAGGGCTCTCGCGACGACCTGAGCAACTGGCGGCCCATCGCGATGGGCGACGTCGTTGCCAAGCTCTTCGCCGCTGTGCTGGCCGGTCGCTTGACGCGGTGGGCGATCGCGAACGATCGTTTGAGCGCGGCCCAAAAG